GCGTACACAATCACCAGGGTTTTCGGAGGAATTCCCTATGGGGCCACGAAGCGCCGTACTGGGTGGCGCGGGACGCATGCGTACACAGACACGGGGGCCTTCGGTGGAACCCCACATGGGGCCACCAAACGTCGTACTGGGGGCAAAGGCACGGGTAGGAGGGGGAAGGGGGGGGAGGAGGAGAGAGGAGAGAGGAGGAGAAGAGAGGAGATCAGAGGAGAGGAGACGCGGGCCGCTGTCAATTCAAAACGAGGGCCCATCACACAAGGACGGTTTGGAAATCTGGAGTACATCAATTATATAGTCGATCTCCTACTCGAAAGGTGAGCACCCGGTCCCTGGTGCAGACCCCGCCTCGCACGGCCAAACCCTGACACGCGAAACTTCCATTCGCAGTCCTGGGCCCCGTGATTCCGTGGTGGTCTTCAAGAAGAAAGCTGGCGATCTCAGATGAGCGACGAAAAGGGACTTGTCTTACGCGATGAGGCATAGCGACCTTGCGCGGTGTCTTAGGCGGGCCGCCAGCTCGGCACGCTAGAATACAGACAGGGGCGCTCACGCCCCGACCTTACGCGGGCAACTACCGCGCCAATGTCGGCGCAGACGACCATTTTTTCGGCGTCGCCCACATGAGCTTATCAGGCAAGGACTCGTCTGCTGCATCCCAAGCCGCGGAGAGACATACCCGCGGGCACGTACGCGGCCCTCACCCACCGCCGCCCACGGCGACAGCAACACCGAAAACCGACCGAGTCGGCGGCGAAACCGAAACCGACCGAAACCGACCGAGATTGACGTCGCCTTCGTCGTCGTCAGCGTTGTCGCCGTCGCCGTCGCCGTCGCAGCCTAGAAGCAGCGCAGCGACGCGGCAGCGAGACAACAACCGACTGGACCGAATCGACCGAGCGCAACTGTCTGCGACGCAGCCAAACCGACCAAATCGCGAAGACCCTTGGGCCCCCATCTTCCCCCAACACCCTCCTCGACGTCCTCCTCCCTCGCCTCCTTCTCCTCCCCCTCCTCCTCATCGATGTTCGAGGCCGGCAGAGCCGCGGCGGCGGACGGCCAGGGCCTGCACCAAGACGCTCCCTGCCGCCGCCGCGGCTGGCAGCCGGCGCGGCGGCGAGGGCGCATGCGCGGGTGCGGAGTCCCTTGGGCGGAGAGCGGTCGGCATCGAATCGATCGAGCGGGTCGGGACACAATCGGAACATGGCCGCAATATAACGTGGATCAAGGACATGGACACTGTCGCTGACGGCTCAAGGCACCATGGAGGTAGCAAACACCAAGAGTATTCCCAAGATGGAGAGCTCCGACTGGAGCAGGAGAGGGGTGTTCCTCCAGAGTCGTCAGGGTTGTTCTTAAGTGTTGTACCTTCTGTACGCAGAAGACACCAACACACCTCTATGATACCGCGTCTGGCCAAGGCCACCCTGGGGCCCACACACCGTGGCACGGGGCTGGGCCCTGACCATGCCAAGCACGGCGGTGGTGTATAGATGACTTCTCCGCGCGGAACGTGACCAACATCCCCGGGCCCCACTTGCACTATTCCGTCCGTGCCCCCCGTTCGGCGCTACGCCTGCGCTATTCCGACCGACCGCGCCCCCGGCTGCCCACACCGCCCCCCCTCCTGCATGATTCCGACCGACTGCGCCCCTCCCCCGAGGCCCCCCTGGGCGCGCACGCGCTGCTTACGCACGACACTCGCTCAAAGGAGTCTTGCGGCGCTCCCATGCTTCAGAGGCGCTCGCTGGCTCGTTATCGATAGCAGATGCATGGCGCCTTCGCCATCTCCTTTGCCACACACACACACACACACGCACACGCGCACGCGCGCACGCGCACACAAACGCACACGCACACGCACACGCACACGCACACGCACACGCACACGCCCACGCACACGCACACGCACACGCACACGCACACGCACACGCACACGCACACGCACATACACAAACACACACACACACAACGTACACTTTTTGACGGTAGCGGCTTCGCGTGTAGCGACGAGGCGAAGAGAGTAAGAATAAGACGCCCGAAACCGCGGCCGAGCCCTCAGGAATCGCTTTGGACTCCGCTGCACCTTCCGCCTTCCGCCATACAGCACATCTGGTCGTGGATGGCAGTGAGGTGGCACGGCAGCCAGAAAGGCCCTGCCCGACGTGGCGAATTGAGCATGAGAGTAAGGAGGGGCGCCATACAGCGCATCCCGACATGGATGGCAGGGAGTGGACGCGCCGAACCAGAAGCATGCGAAGCGGACCAGGGAGGGAGGAGGTGGATGCAACCGAAGAAGGCAGACATGCGAGGCACAGTGGGCAGAAAGAAGCAGGCCGAGAAGCCGAGAACGGCGCGGAGCCACCCCGTCGTGGGAGGCGCGAGGCCAGGGGAGTGGCGGCAGGTGGGCGGAGGTGGGAGAGCTGACACCAAGGAGGGGGTGAGGGCAGCGCCGGGAAAGAAGGGGGCTGGAGCCCCGCGGCGCTTAGCGACGCGCCTGGTGGCCGCACCCACAATTGGCTCGCGAAGCGTGCCGCTTATGGGCAACCGCAGCATCCTGTGCAGGGCCCGGGGGCCTGCCGCCGAAGGGGCCGGAGAGGGCGCCGCCCGCCAGCAGAAACTCGAGGCCGATGACGTCGATCAACTGAGGAGATCGGCGGGGAAGTCGATCGGGGCCAGAGGGCCACTCCTCGCGCTGTGGGTCGCGGCTTAGGCGCCGAATGACCGCAGCGCCCTCGAAGATCCCACTGATCCACGTTGAGACCTGCGCTGTCAAGGGGCGCGGGATTGCTGCGCGCGGAGGGGCCTGAGCCAGCGGCGTCGCCAGCCGTGGCCTGCTGTCTCGGAAGGGGCGGCGGCATGGAGCTGGAGGCCGATCCAGCAGCTTTGCTTGCCGTGGCGTGGTGCTGCGGGGGGGGTGGCGGCGTGGGGCCAGGAGCGGGCTGGGAATGGGCCGAGGCCGCGCGGCTGCTGGACGCAGGCCAAGCCCCGATCGCTTGGGGACCGTTGAGACCGTCACTGGCGGGGCCGTAGCGGTACGCGTCGGCTGATGGCGGCGGGTGCGGCGGATGCCAGCCATGGTGCCCAGTGGGGGCGACAGCAGCTACCCCGAGGAGGGCAGGCGGAGCCGAGCCCCGTCGGGTGCAACGGCCCGGTACGGGGCCGTGGCGGCGGGTGGGGGGAGGCTGGAGCAGCCTTCCCCGCAACCCGCTCACGGGACCTCGGGGCGCGCCTGAGTCCTGCCAGCTCGCGGATGGGAGCGGGGCCCTTTTGGTGGCTGACGGGCCCAGCGCCACGCTGCCGTACCACAGGACGGAGGTGGGGCAGCATGTATGAGAAAGTCCCTCCACACATCTGGCTGCCCATAGGCCTGCCTGATCTCCTAGACGCGCGCGAGGAGGTCGGCGATGGGGTAGCCTAACGCCTGACGTACCCGCGGGGCTGCCCCGAGGCAGGCACGTGGTTCGCCCGCCGGGTGGGACACGCCTTTGTGATAGTTTTTTTCCTCTGGGTAACGGTCGATACTTAGGGGTGGGGGGTTCGGGCGGCAAGGTAACAGTAACGGCGGCCGCGGCGTGCACCCGCCAGGGTGCGTCCGCGCCACCGGCGCATCAATCGCCCGTGTGCACCACAGTCCCTGCGTGCACGACAACGCCCGATGCCTGCGTGCAACACACCGCCGCCTGTGTACACCAAAATGCCTCCGTACACAACATCAGCCGCGAGCAACGCAGCACGTCGCCTATGTACACCGCAATGTCGGTGTAAACTGCAGCTGCCGTGTGCGCAACAGCGCCTGCGTACACCTCGTTGCCTGCGTGTACCAGGGCGCTTGTGTACCAAACAGGGCATGCATAGACCACAACAACCCTGTGTACCGCAGCGCCGGCGCACGCCACAATGCCTCCGTGCACCACAACGCCTGTGTACACCAGACCGCCGAACATGCCATCGAGCACAATCGTAGCTTGCAAGGTCTCCTTGCGGGGCTTGCAACAGAGCACGGAGACCTTCAGGACTCGTGTTTCATCTCCTCCTCCTCCTCCTCCACCTCCTCTTGCTCCTCATGCACCTCCTCTTCCCTGTCCTCTTCCTCTCTTCTTTCAACGGTCCTGGCGACCTTCGCTGAGGGGGAAAGGAATACGGAGCGGGGGGAAGGAGCAGCAGGAGAAATACGAGGAGCAGCAACAAGAGGAACAGCAAGAGCTTCGGGGCCGAATGCTCCAGCGCCGTGGAAGTCCCAAAACAACGCTTGCATGCAAGCGTTCGTGTTCCCCGCGCAATGCTTGCACCAGTGCCGACAATGGTAGCATCGCACAAGTTGCATCGCGTACCATGCGTGTCAAATCAAACGAATAACTGTTTGGGGCCCACGTGCGCCAACGTGTTCTTGCTCGACATCGGTTCCGCGACCCGCCGCCCTCCGGGCATCGGTTCCGCGACCCGCCGCCCTCTGGGCACGGCACCTTGGCAGTGAACCCGCCTGACCAATGCGCACCGCAATAGTCTGCAAACGCCACAACACGCACAATACGCATGTGAACACATAATCATGCATTTCGGTACCACGCTATGCCTGTTCGGCGCCGCAGCAGGCGGGGAGCCTGCGAGCGCCACAGCACGTTCATGAGCACCAAAGCACGGTGGGGGGCGGGGGTGGTTCTGACAGTGATGAATGTGCTCGTGCGGTGGGCAGCCTCTCGACCACATCCAAGGAGCGGCTTTTACCTCGGGCCGTCTGTTGACGGCTCTGGGGCTGGAACGGCCTCCAGAGGCACAGACCACGACAGAACAAAAGCAGCAGCCCCCACTTTTCGTTGCTTCGGAGACGCGGAAGGGGGATCGACCTTCTGTTCAAAGAAGATGGGGTCCTGGGGGATGGAGCCCTAAAGGTAGGAAGGGATACCAGGTTGAATCTACATTGTTTGAAGCCCCTCGTCCTCAGGGCCACACCCCTCAGGGCCCCATCCCAATGTATGCGATGCCATACTTTTTCGGCGCGCGGTCCCCCGAAGTCCCGCCCCACCCCCACAGGGCCGATGTTTCATCCCGAATACTTTGTTGACGGTGTTGACGGTCCTAGGGCCAGGTGAGGGCCCTCAAAAGCCGAAAACGGCCAAAAGCCGCCCGGCGTGTCTTTCCCGAACGCAAACACGTCTGGGTCTTTGGACCGCCGAATCCGCGACGCTCGCGCGGCCCCCTGCAGGCGCGCTAGCGGCGCGGGCCACACCGTGCTGGCCGGGGTCGCCCCGCAGGCTGGGCCTCTGCGTCCGCGCGCCCCGCGGCTGTGAGCTCCCCCCCGCGCGTACCCGCAGCGCCAAGGCCGCTCCGCTCCGCTCCGCTCCACTAGTCAGCCGCGTTACATACTCGCCAAATATCTACTCGCAAATGGCCTGGCTCCGCCGCGGGGGATGTACGGCCCCCTACATCGAGGCGAATGTGTTTTTGTTCGGACGTTTGCGAGTAGACATTTTGCGAGTTGCGGAACGCGCTCGGTGAGCCCACGCGCCTCCACTCCACGGCGGCCGCGCCTGCCACAGCGCTGCTCAAGGGCACCTGCTCCTGCTGCTGCTTCGGCGAGGCGGCCGCGCGGCGCCCACCAGCGCAGCAAAGCGCGCCACGCCCCACCGGCCGGCCGAGCTGGACGCATCCGCGCGCGTGGGTCAGGTCAGGGCGGCATGTTGTGAACGGAGACGCTGTGGACCCTGATCGGGGGCACGCAAGAGTGCCCCTAGGCCAGAGTGACTTTTGGTGCGCGGATTAGTTGGAAGCGATGGGGCGGCAGCGGCCTGCGTGCTTGGGTTTTGCCCCCCCGCGCCCGACTGAAGCCGCGCACCAAAGGTTACTCCAGCGAAGGGTCACCCTCATGCGTGGCCGACCTGACAGGATCGACGGGCCTTTCGTTCACGGCTGCGGCGCAGTTGATGCGCCTGCAGACGTCCAGGCCCTTGACGACCTTCCCGAACACTGGGTGCTTGGACCTGCCATCTGTGAACCAGTCTAGGGTAGGGTTGTGCCTCATGTTGATGAAGAATTGGGAACCCCCACTGTCAGGGGCGCCCCCGTTGGCCATCGACAACGTCCCCGTCCGGTTCGAGTCTCGGCTGCAGTGCTCGTCCCTGATGTTGCCCCCGCCGCAGCGGCGCTCCACCGCGCCTGTCTTGAGGTTTCTGAAGGTGCCGTCGGGAGGGCCACCGGTGCCAGCCTTGCTGCACTGGGGATCCCTGGCATGCGGGCAGCCGAACTGGCTGATCACACCGGGGACCACGCGGTGGAAATGGATGCCGTCGTAGAAGCCGCCACGCGCCAGATCGATGAAATTGGACGCGGTGACGGGCACGCGGTTCAGGTAGATCTCGACCTCGAAGGTGCCTGCGCTGGTGTGGAACACGGCTACTGGGTAATCCTCGTTCCGCACCTCGTACTTCTCGCACACCTTCCTGTACAACTCTGGCTCCTTGCCCTCGTACTTCCGCATCAATTCCGGCAACCCGTCCACCTTATCCGGGTTGTGCTGCCTGTACAACTCTGTCAGCAGATGCACGTAGCGCTGTGCTCCAGGGGTGCGCGCGGCGACGTCAGCGCTCACCTCCAGCTCGGCGCTGTCGGACTCGTCCCTGGCCAGGAGGTCAAGGTCGGCGCGAACCCGCGCGGCCGCGGCCTCCGCATCGGCGAAGCCGAGCTGTGCGTCCAGGGCCAGCAGGGTCCTGCACTCCTCGTCACCGCGGGCACAGTCGAGCAGCACCTCCCGCGCAACGTCCTTGACTGGCAGAGCTTGGTGTTGCGCACACGCATCCCACGGGGGCAGTCCAGGCTGGCCCCAACAGGCCGCCAAGGTAATTCAGGGTCTACCATCGGTGCATATACGGGCACGTTTGTCCACTGTCTCTGAGCCTCCTGAGGTACTCCAAAGCTTCCGCGGGCCCCCAGGGTCATCGGGGAATAAGGAATTTGCGTCGGGCACCTGCTGGCAGACTGGTTTATTGCTTGATGCGCCCACTGTAGGGGTGGACTCAACACCCCAACCCCTGGGCGCGGAGCCCAGGGCCTAATAGACGAGGACTCTGAACGACCACGACTTTGTCGCACCCGATGAAACTGCAGCCGCGTGCCAAAGATGTCTCCAGGCTTTCGCTCAATCTCTCTCTCTCTCTCTTTCTCTCTCCCTGTCTCTCTCTCTCTCTCTCTCTCTCTCTCTTCCTCTCTCCCTCTCTCTCCAGTCTCGCGAAGTCCTGGCCTCAGGTGCTCTGAGGAGCGCCCTGGGGGGGAAGCGACGCCGCATGTTGCGCTGAGGTGTCGGGACACTACCAAACTGCGGGTCTCTGAAGGCTATCAAAGCTGGCCAAGACTTCCTCCGGGGGCTGCAGGCACGAAGCCCCGGGCACTGCCCTCAGGAGCAGGAGGGAGGGAGAATGGTCCGCAGTCTCTGGACATCTCCTGGACATGTAATAGCTTGACGACGGCTACTGTCGCACTGGATCTTTGGCAATGTATTCAGATCCTACGCCGTGCCTTCAGCACGTAGTTATGTGTCCCAAGGCTCATACACGTGTGTGAAACTCAAACGGCTGTGAACAATGTCGGCTACGAAATGTAAGCAAGAGTACATGTCAGAGTGAGGGGGCCGCCTGGTCATTCACTGTCCCTGGGCGCGCGGCTGACGTGGGGTTCCGCGGTGAAGATTGTATGTGTTGCGTTGTTGTTGTAGTTGTCGTTGTTGTTGTTGTTGTTGATGGTGGTGGTGTTGTTGTTGTTGTTGTTGTTGGTGCTTTGGTGTGGTTAGTGGTGTTGCTGTTGCTGATGTTGTTGTGTTGTGTTGTTGTAGTTGCTGTTGCTGCTGTGTTTGATGTTGTTGGTTTTGATTGAACTCTCACAGCTGAATAATAATTATTGTTGACACCCCCTCCAATGACCATTGTGTTTTTTCAGCTGACGTGCTTGCTCCGGGGCTCGCACCCTGTTTTGATCTAGGGAAGTCACAGGGGCTTCAACCGGGCCCCTGGCCTCCTGTTTACAACAACAGCGGCTCCCGCCTGATACCTGCTCACAATGTATACCCAGATCGCGCTCTCGCGCGGGACTTCCTGACAATTCATGTGCGCATCGCGCTCTCGCGTGGGACTTCCTCGCAATGTATTTAAACGATGTGCCCTCGGCGCTCAGGAATCACGCTCTCGCGTTGGACTGTCTCACGATTACCTTGGGAATCGCGCTATCGCTGGAGGCTTCCTCGCGATTCATGCAGAACCCAAGCTTCAGCAACCAGCCTGCTCGACCTGGTCGCCTGGGCCCGCCTTCCCGACCTGCCTGCGATGGGTCTGCCCACCCGATCTGCCCGTCTAGTTCTACCACTTGTTCTCTGTTCCTTGCCCCCCTCCTGCTAATTTCTCTCGTGCTCCATTCTTCACGCTACCCCTTTCACACGTTCTCTCTTCCCTTGTTGAAGTGGCTGCACGAAATGCACATGGCAGGTAAGGAAGATATAACCCCCTAGGGGGTTACGATGGAAGACGACGAAGACTGAGGGCTTGGGATGTACATTTTCATTGGCACGTGAACAGATAGGAACGAACAATATTAGAATTAGTGTTGCTGTTGTTATTGTTGCGTTTTTGTCGTCCTCGCCCGCGACCCGACACCCGCCCGCGACCCACCCCGCGACCCACCCCACGACCCACCCGCGACCCACCCACACCACATTGATATATGTATGGCGCCTGCGGCGGGCTCATTTGGCAATGCGTTTAAACAAAGATCGGCGCCTGCGGCGGGTGTCTCCAGAGCCCCGGGACTGCCGACGACCCCGCCGCCCCCTCACTTGTTCGCATCTGCGGGGTGCTACACATGTCAGGGCGAAGGGGCCGAACTATCATTCACTGTCCCTGGGGGCGTGCTTGAAGAGGGACCCCGCAATGAAGATTGTTGTGGTTGCCGCTGTTGTTGAACTCCCACTACTGAAAAACAAAGATATGGTCGATCCCCCCTTGGGGAACATATTTGTTTTTCAATTGAAGTGCCCCTTCTGGGGTTCGCACCCTGTCTGTTTTATCAAAACAAAAATTCTCCTCAAACTATGTTCCCGACCCCGGGTTTACAACGACAACTGCTCCCGCCTGATACGTCCTCACAATTAACGAAAGAATCGCCCTCTCGCTAGGGACTTCCTTGCAATCTATCCAAGAATCGCGCTCTCGCTTGTGGTTTCCTTGCAATGTATTCAGGCGCCATGCCCTCGCCATTCAGGAATCGCGCTCTCGCCTGGGACTCCCTCGCAATTTACTTCGGAATCGCGCCCTCGCCCGAGACCCTTGGCGAATTATTCAGAAGTCACGCACTCGCGTAACAAACATGTTTTTTCAATTGAAGTGCCCCTCCCGGGCCTCGCTGTGTCGACTCATACTATGCCCTTGGCCCCCAGTTTACAACAGCGTCCAGCGGCAAGTCGGCGTGCCAGACTGCTGTGACGATGTCGTAGAGCCCCAGCACCCTGGTCCAGTCGTTGGAGCCAGGGCGTCTTATTGGGGCAGCTCGTGAGACGATCAACTTGATGAACTTCAGTGGGGGCGTCGCCGTGTACGTGTCCAGCTGGTCGTACATGTTGAACTCCAGGGCCACACACCTCGACCGGACGGTGGTCTCACCGTCCTGCACGCGCTTCTCGTCGGGCCACATGCTGCGCACCTTCTTACCCTTAGCGTCCTTCATCGGCACGCGGTCGTAGAGGCACCTGTCCAGCATGTTCTGACGCTCCCGTGCGCGGCCCGCGCGCGCGAGCTCGGGGTCGAGCACCTCGCCGGTCTTGTGGTCCTTGACGTCCTGCGTGCCGATGTCTGGCGTCGCCACGTAGGCCACCGGCGTCACAATGCTCCTGGCATCCGCAAGGGGCGGCTGGCCGCGCACATGCAGAGCTCCGATCACGCGCCTCCTCGAGGATGCGGGCCCGCCTGCATCGGCGCCACCACCCTCGAAGAGCTCGACCTTCTCCTGGAAGCTCAGGTCATCCCGCTCGCGCTTCGTCGCGATGCTCGCTGCCTCCATCTCCGCCTCAACGGCGGGGTCAGGTGCCTCCGGAGCCGGCGCTGGTGGAGTGGCAGGGGCCGCATCCTCCGGCGGAGCTGCCATCTCGACGTCGGGAGCGGCTCTGGCAGGTGCGGGGGGCCCTGGAGGGGCTGCGAGCTGGGGTCCGGATACCGCCGGCTGCGGTGCCTCTGCGGGAGGCGCCGGCGCCGCGGCACTACTGCTCGCTAGTGCCTCGTCCCCCCTCCCCCAGATCGCCAGGAAACGGGCCTTGCAATCGTCGCTGTGTCCCGTCGCGCGCCCCAGGCAGCCGGGGCACTCGGGAGCGAGGCCGTACTTGTCGAAGTAAGCCTTCGTGATGTACCGCTTCGGTCGGGTTGCCGGGGCCCGGGCGCCCAGACGCGGAAGCCACGGGGCGCAGAGCACCTTATCGAGCATCTTCTTGTTCCACCGCTTGCCCTGGGCCTTGCGGCGGACAGACCTGGCCAGGCGCACCTCGTTGCCCAGCGCGATGATGTGCTCGTCGGTCTTCCAGCTCTTGCCCAACCAGATGCACGTGGTCCAGCGCTCGTCCAAGGGCGAGAGACGGGAGGCATCGGGAGTCCGGTACCACAGGCACCCCCCGAAGAGGGCAATCTTGCCGTTGTATGGCCGGCCCTTCAACCTCTCGTAGCCCGCCCGGCCGTCCGCGTGCACACGGTGCATGCATATGCACCAGCCGCAGTGTCGCACAAGCCAGGGCACCAGCGGGCGACCAGCGTGCAGCTCGACCTTCGCCACGTCCCTCAGGTACAAGACGATCGTCCTCAGCAAGTTCTTCACCTCCTTGTTCATGTTCTCGACGGTGCCCATGGACTCAGGCGAGTACCGGGGCTTCATCTCCAAAACTGTGGGATCCGCACGCCCTGTGGGGATCGCCTCCGCCAGGGCCTTGATGGCGGGCTCGCCGTCGACCCTCAAAACGATGGCCTTCCTACTCCAGTACCCGAGGTACTCAATGACGCTGCGGATCGCGTACTCGATAGGGCCCTTCTCGTCCACCACCAGCGCCAACGCCATCCCGAACTCCTGGTCGTACACGGTCAGGATGGTCATCATGTCGAACGGGGGGTCGGTCACGAACGTGTAGTCCATCATCGCAATCGGCTTAAAAGGCATCGTAACGGGCATGCGCGTCCGATGGTGAGGATCGTCAGGGGCAGCAGCCTGCGTGCAAGAACTGCACCATGACCTAGACGGAATGTGGGTCAAGTAGTGCTCCTCCTTCTCGTGATCTGGCGGGCCGATGGGGACCTTCGCGGATCTGCGGGGCCCCGCCTCCTCAGAGGGGCCCAGGGGGGCCAGAATGCGTCGCAGCGCCTCCCTGGGGGCCGCCGGGGGCACAGGGGCCTCTGCAGGTGCTGCGTCCGCCGCCGCGGGGCCTACCGCAGGCGCGGGCTGTGCCTCCTCCGCAGTCGCGGGCTCAGCCGCAGACGCGGGCTCTCCTACTTCGATGGCCGTTGGGGCGCGTGCTGCACGGATCCCCCGGGCCTGCCGCCGCAGCCTCAACCACGGCACATTCGACTGCATGACGAGGTAGACGCAGCCTCCACTAGCCGCGTGGAGCACCTCGCGCTCCGGCGCGAGGACGACAGTCGCCCCTCCGCGTCGCAGAGCGGAGGCCGAGAGGATCAGGCAGTTCACGTTCGTCACGTTCCACGTGATAGCCAGCTCCTCCCCGTTGTCCAGCACGTAGGTGATGTTCTTGGTGCCGTAGTTGATGATGGGCTCACTCGTGGCACTCACCATGGGACGAAGATCCCTACGAGGAGGCAGCATGGGGACATCAGGAGCATAGTCAGCGGACACGCCACAACCCCCGACCCCGAGTCCAGCAGGGCGAGTTCGACGCCACCATGGCCAACCGCAGCAATCATGCCGGCAGGCTGGATCATGTTGACCGTCAGTGGATCGTCCACGGCTCGTCCGGAGACGAGCTGGACGCTGCGCTGGAGCCCTGAGAAAGAACTGCCGGCGGTACGGGTAGAGCTGGCGGCACGGGGCCTAGACCCATGACGACGGTGCCTGGGGGGTGAACGGAGTGGATGCCGTGCGCCGGAGGCGCTCCCCCCTGGCCTGGGTACCACATGGGGTGGAAGAGCGTCGGGCACGCCGCGTTCATCGGCATCGGCATGCCCGGCGAGGGCAGTGCCAGCTGCGTGCTGGCGCTGCTGCTTCCTGCTGCCCCTGCTGCTGCTCCTCCTGCTCCTCCTCGGGCCTCCTCTGTCACGCTTCGGGCTCCTGCTCCTGGTAGCGGCTTGCCGCTCGAGTCCACCTTCCCGGCCTTGATGTCGGCTTTGAGTTTCCTGCAGTCCTGTTTGATGTGACTGGGCTTCCCGCAGTAGTGGCAGTCCTTGCCCGCATTGGGGTTGGCGTTGTCCTTGCTCTTGGCTTTGCCTTTGGAGTCTTTTCCTTTTCCCTTGGGGTCCCTCCCCTTGCCCTTGGAGGTCTTGCCCTTGCCGTCCTTGACGGCTCCGATCACCATGGGGTCGTCGACGTCCTGGGTCCACGTCCGCTTGGCCACGGCGAAGTTCAGGATCTCCGCTCGCAGCTGCTGGTACGCGTCCAACCTCGCGGCGTTGAGCTCGAGGTGATCCCGGACCTTCACGTTCAGCATCCCGCCGATGAGCACGGAGATCTTCACGTCCTGGTCCAAGACCTTGCCGCTCTGTTCCTCGTAGCGCCGTACGTCCCTCTCGAAGCTCTCGATCTCCACCGCCAGGTCGCTGTTGGGGTCCTTTCCGAACTCCCTCCGCACGAGGGCGTGGAGGACCGCCCCGTGACGGACTCGCACGTTGGGCTCGTACTCCCAGCAAAGGCGCCTCCAGGCCTCCGCGCCGTTGCCCTGCTCCACGTTGCCGATCAGGCGCTGGGCGTCGTCCGTGGTGAGCATCACCAGCATGTAGTACAGCTGGCGGCTCAGGGTGAGCGTGACCTCGTCCAGATCGTGAGCGTCCACGACCTGGCCGCCCATCGCCTCCGCACGGCGGAAGAGTTCCGTCATGTTGGCGTGCGCGGCGCAGGCGAACGCTTCGAAGACGAAGCGGAAGTGCCTCCACGCCTCGCGCTGGCCCGAGAAGCTCGACGGCTTCCCGAGCGTCCGTGTGTCCACGGTCGCGCCGCCAAGGTGCTCCGCGAGCGCACGCTGCGGCGCTACGGGGGGCGCCGCCCGAAGCTGTCCGAGCTCGGCCTGCGCCGCTTGCACGCCCTGCTCCGCGGCCTGCCCGCGCTGCTGCTGCCGCTGGAGCTCCTGGACCAACTCCTGCTGCCTGGCCTCCATGGCCTGCAGCCGCTGGGCCAACTCCTCCATCGTTCCGGCCAGCACGACGCTCTCGAGCGCCGATGGAACGCCCGCCGCGCTTGCTGGGCATGCACTGCCGCAGACCGCGGGGTTGCCGCAGGTCGCGGAGGCGACCAGGCGCGGGGCTACCGCTGCCTAGTGGCCGTCCCAGGCGCGGAGCTGCCCGCTGCCTAGGTGGAGCCGCGGATTCAAACCGCCAGCTCCGCTACCATGCGCGAGTACGAAACTCGCGGGAGTGATGGGAGGGAAAGACTGGGGGCGCTCTATTCCTCCACGCTCGGATGCTTGAGCCAAGACGGTCGCGGGACCGGTTTCGCCGTTACGCCGCAACCGCTGCTACACACTGCACAACATGCTATGCACAGACTTGCATCATGCTTCAGTCTACTACTATTCTAAGCTATGTAGTTCACCACATTGCTTTCTATTGCCTTGCGTTGTTTTGCACTGCTTTGCATTGGTTCGCATTGCTGTGCAACACATAACTTTCACCAGATGGATTGCACCAACTTGCACCACATTGATTGCACCACCGTGATAGCACGGCAAGGATTGCAACAAATAGCTGTTCCAGGCCCACACTGGCTAACATTCCTCACACTTTTGACTGGTCTTCGTGAATCACTTTGTCGAGCTTCCGTCCGGTCGGGACGGCCCAAAAGGCCTCCAAGCGGAGGCGTCTGGAGGCTATCTTGAGCCGTCCGCGAACCCTGAAGGCCGTCTTGGGGTTGACCCGGCGGCGTCTTAGGCCGCCTGGGCGGCTGTCGGATCCCTCTGGGAGGCGAGGCGAGGCCTCCCAAGAGCGGGCCACCCCGGGCCTCACAAATGTGATCGTGGTCCCCCCAGGCCCCCTTAGGCCCGGGCCCCACATATACGTGTTGATAACACATACTCATAACGCGCAGAGAATTTACCTCGATTTGTTTCGCATCCTATGGTGGTGTCGATTCAAGTACAGTAAAATCTCCGCGGGTGGGGTCGGTAACCCCTGGGGCGTCCAGTCAATCAAAAGTACTTCGGGGTGGGTGGGCAGTTCTCCAAGGACCCGAGCCCTGAACCCCGAAGTCCCGAAGTCGTCTGATGAATGACGGACCGTCTTATGACGTCGTCGGCGTTTCGATCGGATCGGACGGGCTGTCACCACACGGCCTTTGGGGCCCAAAGTCTCTGAAGGTCGATGGAGGTCCCTGGAGCCCCGTCCTCGTTCATGCGCAGCTCGTGGCAGCGGAGGGCGGCGTTCCTGACAAGGGCGTCCAACAGGGGGGCAACCTTAAAAAAGTAACCAAGACCCCCTCAGGGTTATCAGTAGCACTGCGTCGATATTGATAGAATCGCAAGGGGGGATTTTAGCCGAACGATGCCTTTCGCACCGCGCCATACAGCCCAAAAAACATATTCACGGATTGAGAGCGGCTCCATTTCAAAATGTGGCTTTCGCCGCAGCACCGCGCACATTGGTTTGAAAACCTGTGCCAGAGTTTCACGGATTGAGGGCTGTTCGTTTTCAAAATGTGGCTCTCGCCTCAGCGCAGCGCGCACTCCTTTTAAAAACTGTGCAAGAGTTTCACGGATGGAAGGCGGGTTGCTTCTAAAATGTGGTTCTCGCCTTAGCGCCGCACGCATTCGTTTCGATCATTTGCACGAACTTCACGGACTTAGGGCGGCTTGTTTTCAAAATGTGGCTCTCGCTTTAGCGCCGCGCAGATTCCTCATAACAGCTTGCACGAGTTTCACGCATTGACGGCGGCTCGTTTTCACAATGTGGCTCTCGCCGTAGCGCCGCGCGCATTCGTTTAAACAAATTGCGGGAGCTTCACAGATTGAGGGCGGCCTTTTTTCCCAACCTGCCTGTGGTGTTGGGTCCTCGTTTTGAAGAGACGGTCCCCGCGACCCTCCTCTTCTCCTCCCCCTCCTCCATGGCGCAGTTCGCATGGCGGCGCCACTCCATTTTGGCACACCCCTCACACGTTTCGTGGCCCCATCGGGGGCTCTACCTAACGTCCCACTGGTGCAGTCCGCATGGCGGCGCCGCTCCATTTTGGTACACGCCTCACACGCTTCGTGGCCCCATCGGGGGCTCCACCTAACGTCCCACTGGTGCAGTCCGCATGGCGGCGCCGATCCATTTGGGTACACGCCTCACACGCTTCGTGGCCCCATCGGGAGCTCCACCGAAGGACCCAGTGGTGCAGTTCGCATGGCGGCGCCGCTCCATTATGGCACACCCCTCACACGCTTCGTGGCCCCATAGGGAGCTCCACCGAAGGTCCCACTGGTGCAATTCGCATGGCGGCGCCGCTCCATTATGGCACACCCGTCACACGTTTCGTGGCCCCATAGAGAGCTCTACCTAAGGTCCCACTGGCGAACTGCGCATGGCGGCGCCGCACCATGTCGGCACCCCTCACACGCTTCGTGGCCCCATGGGGAGCTAGCTCCACCTAAGGTCCCAGTGGCGAACTGCGCATGGCGGCGCCGCACCATGTCGGCACACCCCTCACACGTTTTCGTGGCCCCATGGGGAGCTAGCTCCACCTAAGGTCCCAGTGGCGAACTGCGCATGGCGGCGCCGCACCATGTCGGCATCCCTCACACGTTTTCGTGGCCCCAGAAGGAGTTCCACCTAATGTCTCTGTGGCGCAACCGCGTGGCGGCGCCGCACCATGTCGGCACACCCCTCACACGTTTTCGTGGTACCGTAGGGAACTCCACCGAAGGTCCCAGTGGTTGTGCTCGCATGCGTCAGCCACACCCATTTCGTCACAACTTTTGACACGCGTCGTGGCCCCATAAGTAACTCCAACGAAAGCCCCGGCGCCACCGCCCGCATGCGTCACCAACGCCTTTCCCGGCACACTGTTCACCCGCTTCGTGGCCCCATCGGGAGCTCCACCGAAGGCGCCAGTGTGAGTTCGCATGCGCCCACTGCGCCCATTTCGGCACACCACTCACACGTTTCGCGGCCCCATAGGGATCTCCACCGACGGCCCCAGTGGCTGCGTTCGCATGCGCACCCCTCACAACTTTCGTGTCCCTATAGGGAGCTCGTCCGAAGGCGGTGCATGCAACGACGGTGCCCGCAACTGCATATTGTTGGGCCCTCCGCCAAGCTACTTTTCAAGATGTCGCTCTCGCCTCAGCACCGCGCGAATGTCTTTCTTTCCCGAAATTCACACACGCACACACACACACAATATATATATATATATATATACATATATATATATATAGAGAGAGACTAAGCCTTCAGCCCCCCGGGAATCGCCAGAGACGGTTGTTATCGTGTCTGGAGCAAGGCACATCATTCACAACGGCAAATGATTAGGCGCTCAAGCGCAACTCGGAGAGACTCCCCTCAGCAAAAACGTGCACGTGAACTTAGACCTTCTGAGAGCGGCCAGCCGATGAAGGGGGGCAAGACGAGCAGGAGCGAAAAAGGGGAGGCGAGGCGAAAAAGGGAGAGGAGGGAGGGAAGACTTGAGCAGGCACGTCGACGGCAGGCGTCGATGCGGCGAGACCTCGGGGCACAGACGCGTCACTTCAGCTTGTCGAAAGCAACCAGAGACTAAGCCTTCAGCCCCCCAGGGATCGCCAGAGACTGTTTTTATCGTGTCTGGAGCAAGGCGCATCATTCACAGCGGCAAATGATTAGGCGCTCAGGCGCAACTCAGAAAGACTCCCAGACCCGAACAGGAAAACGAATGGCCAGGATGGCCGCAACAAAAACTCAAGGCTTAAACCTGTTCCAGAGCGTCGACACCCTAAGAAATTCAGCAGCCTCTATCATTGAAGTGTCAATAGCTTTTGAGAGCGCAGGTGGGTAGGCAGCGGCAATGGCGGTCCAGTACTTTCCACCTGGAGCCCTGCCTGCGAGCTCCTGATGCTGCAGGCCAGTTCTACTACAGATCTTGCCGTTGGCGTGACACCAGCGCTGCAGTCGCGAGAGACAACCTCCATTCCAAGAAAGGACACGAGTGCACTTTTTCCAAGGCGCCCCGAATTGGCACTGATGAAAACGAGCGCTAGAAAAATCAGAGCCGCGAGTCCGACTGATCAGACGAGGAGCCAGCCACATCAACGATCTGTCTGGGTTCTCCAGGAAGGCTGGCACACGAACGCGTCTGCACACGTCTATGAGCCTGCAAGTGACGAACAGCGTAGCGTTACCCAAAGTCAGACGAGCACGTTGTTGGTCAGTAAGAGAAACAAGGCCCATGGGGGCGTCAACGCTCCGCAGCGGTTGCCGGAGCGCCTGAGACCATGACGTACAAGGCGTGCCGAAGAAAACGCCAAGCACGAGGCCAGAGCTAATCCACCCCTTGGTGAGACGCTCAACACACCGCACCAGTAAGTTCCCATGCCAGCCGCTCGCAGCTTCTTTGAAATCCCTGCCGAGCCGGCGAACAACTCCAGAAAGACGCAGTGGCGCCGCCGCGTTGCCCTCTGCATGGCAACCTGGAGCTCCTGCCGCAGCCGGCGCAGGATGCCGGCGGCATTGCGGCTCAGCGGCGGCGAGCGGCCGGCCTCGCGCTGCCTGCGCCGGCTGGCCGCTTCCGCGCCGCTCGGGCGGAGCTCAGGGAGGCGAAACTCGTCGGACCAGCAGCAGCCGCCGTGGCCAGGCGTGTGATGTGCAGCTTTAGCGGGTCGGGCACCTGGTTGATGATCCCCGCGTGGATGAAGCCGCTGCCCACGAGATCCTGGAAGTTCTGTTCCACGAGGGTCCCGAACAAGAAAGTGCTGTTCGGGGCGAGGCCGATCTCGCGCAGCAGCTTGGACTCCTTGGCGTACCTGGCCATCGACGAGGCTGCCTTCTAGCGTCCACGGCGCCGGGCCTGCTCCACTGCCCTCCGATTGGACAGGAAGTCGTCCGACGCCCCGCCGTGCCTGAGGGAATAAAGGTGAGGCCCGAGGCTGTCCAAGCCCAGCAGCGACGCGGCCTGGACGAACACCTTGCGGAGATCCGCAGGGCTGAAAGCCCGCAGTAGCTGCCCGGCCGGCGTCGCCATCGAGAGCGCCTCGAGCAGCGGGTTGAGCCACGCGTCCAGGTCCACGAGCACCGACTCCTCGAAAAGGCCCGTCTTGCCCGGCTGGGCCTCCGCCACGTCGTGGAGCAGGAGCCCCGCGCCTGGTAGGCGGGCCCCGCCTTGGCGGAAGGAGCCACCAAGTGCTGCGCCTTCAGCGTGAAGCACCCGCACGGGCGGAGGTAGCACACGAACGACACCATGATCCACAGCGCCATCCGCGACTGGCCGAGGGCGAGCATGACCCCCGCGATCGCGAAGGCCGCCGATCGCGGCAGCGGGCAGCGTGCGAAGCTGGGCACCCGACGCTCCCATGCCACTGCCGCGCGCCAGCTCTGCGAGAGCCCCGACTTGCCAGCGCGCCGAACCTCCGGGAGGAAGTGCGCCAGGGCGGCAAGCAGCTGGCTCCCCTCGGCCGCCGCCGCGCCAGAGTGGAACTGGCTGTTGAGGAAGATCGCGGAGGGTGGCCCAGGAGATCTGGTAGAGGATGCAGTGATCCGTGAACATGCGGCACGCCGAACGGCAGAGCTCCTCGGTCGACTCCTTGATCGCCAGCTGCTCCAACGAAGTCAGCCCGGTGATGGGCTCCCTGCCCTGCAGCAGGCTCCGCGCCAGCGTGGCGCGCGCCTGCGACTGCCGACTGCCGCCCGAGGCCCGGGGAGCTCGCCGCGCCATCGGCGGTCGGGCTGTCGGAGCCGCCAGTCTCGGCAGCGGGAGAAGGCTCGGCCCGGGCGCGCAAAGGGCGCGCGCCCGAGAACCACCCTCTGAGCCCACGTGAGTACGGGTCCGAGGGGTTGAGCTCTGAGGCGATCCACCGAACGTAGACCCGAGATCCCGAGGCCAGGCTGAGAGCTGCTAGCTTCTGAAGAGGCCCTCTAAGATGACGAGGCCGTGCTCCCCCCTCGGTGGCCGCAAGGGCCAGGGGCAGGTTATCGACCAGAGCGACATGGCGTTTACCGTAAGCCTGCGAACTCCGAAAAGCATGACGGAATGCTAACACCAGAGACTCCCCCTCGAGCTCCAAGATGTCGGGGCCCTCCGAGATCTGCACCGCGGCCACGCCAGCCCAAGACGAAGCCTCCAGAACATCTCCAGGAATATCGTCGAAGACGGCATCCGAAACGTTCAGGAAGGGGCCTCCAAGAGATGTAGACGATGAAGAGCTAGGCAGAGGAGGTGACGAGGGGTCGAGGCGACGCAGCGCTCGCTCACGGGCTCG